TATGAAATCATTTAGCTATTTTATCGTAATATATTGAAGTCAGTAACTCGGATCACTTTTTCTTATCTATTATAAGTTTAGGGATGCATTTTTCATATTATTTTTGTCGCAAGATATTTGTAATAGTAAATGTCACTACTAGAAAAACAGCCTTTTACGATGCGCAATGTGCGTCGTAAAACGCTCAGACGACGCGCAAATGCGTGTCAAGGAAGACCCAGTCATAACGAGAGACGACACGCTTTTGCACGTCGTCTATTTACGATGCGCATTTACGACGCACATTTACGACACACAATACGTATCAAGGAAGGCCCTGTCAAAAAGGAAGACGACACACATTTGTGTGTCGTAACCTTACGACGCACGTGTTTATGACACGCAATGCGTATCAAGGAAGCCCCTGTCATAAATGAAGACGACACGCATTTGTGTGTCATAAACTTCAGTAACCAGTATTGAACTTCCAAGTTGGGCAATCACTTCACAGTCATTTCCAAGATAGGTAATCACTTCACAGTCAGATGGGCAATCATAAAGGAACTCTACTCTTCACTTACAAGATGGGCAATCACTTTACAGTCACTTCCGGTATTGAACTTGTGAGACTTCAGTTGCTCCCTTAAAGCTTTATGGTTGTATATCTCCCCATTAACCTAAAAAACAAAAAAAGTCAACGTTTGGCTAGCTTCATTATACAAGAATTAGTAAAGAGATTCATTGGATGACAACTTTTCTATTTTGTTAATTATCTAAAAGATGTGGAAACTGGACTTTACCTTTCCATACATCATTATGGTCCTCTTCTGTAACTTATTCATTGTGCTTCCAAAAACTCAACTACACTTATATCTGTTGGATCAGGCCCTGTTTCACACAGCGAAAACAGAGTAAAAAAGAGAGAAGATAGGGGCAATTTTTTTGTGTTTCTTCTGTGTTTTTGGAACATAATAAATAATCAGGTCCACAAAAAATCAATGTTAAATAGGCAAGAAGTAAAGAAACAGAAGATAGTGTTTTTTTAAGGCTTACATAATCGTACACATATACCATGAACTTGTATTTATATCTTAAAACAAAGTATTATTGATTAATAAGACATAATAAGAAAAAGGGCAAATTGAAATACACAAGTACCTCTGGTGGAAGACCATTCCAGCCACTAATCTGATTCCTAGGAACATTTGACATAAGATTTGAAGATGCCATGGGACTTGGACTTCATGGCGCAGTCTATCAAGCTCATAAACCCTTGATTTGGCAGTATACTTGAAACCCTTACAATCTCTGAAAAAATAAATGGATTTGAAGGAATTAGTTACAACTGAAAGGAAATGTGTTTTCTTTCCTCAAGTAGAGCTGTCAATGAATCATGAAAAACACAACACCCATTTCCTTCATTCTTCTTCTTCATTCCAGTCAAGAACACCTCCATTGGAGGTGTTCTTCTTGTAAAGCGCTAGTAATTCTCTTCTTTCATTCCCTATAAAACAGCAGAACTAAAAACACCATCTAAATTTATTGATTAAATCTATTTTTTTCCAGTCAAATATCAAACCAAAAATGCCCCTTTATCTTCAACATTCTTATTCAAAAATAACAAAAAAAAAAGAACACGGGTTTGATTTTCTGCAACGTGTTTGCTCTTTGAATTGTATCTTTTCTGCTTCAATGATTTCCTCTTCTTGATCAGACAATGGCAGAGGACCAAAAGTCCTTCCTCCTCTTTCGTGAGTTGATACCGATCGAACCAGAAAAAAAAGAAACAAAAATACCTTCTGCGTTGAACTCCAAGAACCAAACAATCTATCATCGAACCTTTTCTTCCTTCCATCGATCCTTGCTGCCAAGCACCCCACCGATCGCAAACACCCCTCGATCGGCGACTGTTAACGCCCTTCGCGACCGACCCAAGGACCGAGATCTCCTTTTCCCTCGCTTCTCACTCCCTTTCTCCAATCCCACATCATAATCTCAGTTAATTAGCTTTAATAGTTCATGTTTAAGGGATGAAAGATGAGACTACAGCTCCGATCTTAGGGTTTCAAAGGGGACAAAGGTTCGTAGATCGGAGAAATCAGGATTCCGATCTTAGGGTTTCAAAGGGGACAAAGGTTTGCAGAGAGCACTCCCATCTTGAAAAAGAACCCTAGAATGATTCCTTCGATTTTTTGATAAAATAAATAGTCCGGAGGTGCGTTCAAGAATTATAAAGCGACGTACTTACACGACACGCCTTTTATGATGGGTGCCCTCCGTGTTTTTATTTTTATTTTTTTCTGACACAAATTTTAGGGCACGGAAAAATGCGCGTCCTAAATCCTTCAAAATTTTGGAGAGATGACATTATTTTTACGTCACACACTTTTGCGTATCGTAAATTCGTGCGCGTCATAAATTGCGTGTCATTAAAGGCCTTTTTTCTTGTAGTGTGTCAAACTTTGAAAACAAAATATATTCATAACTTAAATGTAGAAGTATTTATAAGGTGAGGCCTTGATTTAATATATTCTACCTAATATATTAATGTATCACGACAGACCATTCTAACATCATCAACCATCAACCACTCTCACATACCATTTTATCATAATATATAGAGCAAAAAACGAATGTGGACTACTAGAAAAAGAAAAAATGTATCATGACATACCATTCTAACACCATCAACCATCAACCACTCTCACATACCAGCATCCGATAAGATCAAACTAGCATCGTTTATCCAATAGCAACAAAAGTATTAAGAGACTCTTTATTAGTTAACGATAGACATTCCATCGATAATTGGTCTTGTTGTTTGTAAAATAATTTGATTATGAGGATTTACCACTAAATAGTGACAAATTCGTCGCTAAATTTTGCAAAGCTTTTCGTCATTTATTTGCCGTCATCCCTTCGTTGATTTGGCACTGAAATCCTTCGCAAACACTCTGTCTCTAATTTGTTACTGATTTCTATATCAACATCATATAATTTGTCACTGACATGAAGACATTGAAGATGAACCTTTAGAAGTCTTAGATAATGATGTGTTTGAGTCATTTGCTAGTGAATAATAGCCTCGAAAGAAATTGTTAAAATCCATTCGAAAACCAATTGCTTTTTGGGTTTGAGGGATTTTCTTGGATTTGATGGTACGTTTTTGAAGGGTCCCTTTCCTGGAAAAATCCTCACTGTAGTTGGGCTTGATTCGAACCAATGCATTTACCCAGTTGCATATACCATTGTAGAAACTGAAAATATTAACTCTTGGACATGGTTTTTGGAACACTTAGGTGATGGCTTGGATTTGAATTCTTCATCTAACTTCACCTTCATTTCAAATCGGCAAAAGGTACCTTCTAACTTCAACAAACTTCACTTTTTTTATTTCATTTACTAACTTATTGTACTCACAAGGAATCTTGGTTGCAATAGAGAAGCTTTTTCCATCAGCTGAGCAAAGGTTCAGTTTAAGACGTGTGTTTGACAACATGAAAATGAAACATAAGGGAGATGAATTGAGGGAAGCAGTATGGTGCTGTGGAAAAGTATATAGCATACCAAAATTTAATAGGTCTATGGAGAAACTGAAAAAGATTAACCCAAAAGACCATGAGTGGTTAAGTAAAATTCCTGCAAAACATTAAGCAAGCCTATAATTTTGGTAAGTATCATACTCTTTTCATTAACATATTTAATAACTGATTTCACTAATTCATTGTTTGGTTTTATACATCGGAAGGGTAATCAATGATAGTTTGACAAATAACTTGTGTGATGTATTTAACTCCAAGTTAGATGAGGTCAAAGACAAGCCTATAATCACTTGTTTGGAATATATTCGAGAATACCTCATAAAGAGAATAGTAAATGCTCATAAAGTGCAAGACAAATGCAAAGGTTCTCTAAGTACAACTGCAACAACAATCTTAGAAAACAATAAGACAGAGGCAAATCAGATAAAGGTTCTATTCAGTGGAGAAGATAAATATCAAGTGACTAGTCTATGGATGGAGCAGTATGTTGTGAACTTGAAAGAGAGGAGTTGCACTTGTAGGAAATGGGACATTACAAGTATTCCATGCCAGCATGCTATTGTTGCAATGTATGATATGATGCAGAATGGGTCAAAATGTGGAGATCCTGAGGCTTGGGTGAACAAATGCTACTAGCATAGTACATGGAATGTTATGTACCAACACACAATTGACCCAATAAATGGAAGGAGCATGGGACCTAGATCTGATTGTCTAACAACCCTTCTCCCACCCAAACATCACAAACAGGTTTGTTGTTATACATGTTTTGCATAATTTAACTTGTAACTATTTACTAAACTTGTTGATATGTATCCTTATAAATTTGGTTATAGGTTGGTAGGCCAAAGAAAAAAAGG